GAACCGGAGGGGTCGGGTCGGCAGGGATATATATACCCTGGAGCGGGGCGCCGCTCTGGCGGGAAGGAGGGGGCCCTGCCGGCTCGACGGGAGCCGCTAAGGGAAAAAGTTTCCGACGTCCGTGCACGCGGCGCGCGTACACCTAATGTGTAATGGACGTGAACAACACATCTCGAAGAACAACAGTTACAGAAGGTAAGTAACCGTTCTTTCTGCTTAATAGCAGAAAATCTTCAATGAGGAAAACTTACCTGCAGAATTGGAAATGCTTCCAGATTTGATGCAGTTTCAGAGTGATACCTCCTCTTGAGTCTTTCCCTCTTTTATCTGTCCCTTTAAGACTGCATTCCTCATGGTCATTACTTCACTACATCCACACCTTTGCTTCCCTCCCAAGGTTTCCTCATAATTTCACATCCCCTACTGATGTTTTATCCCACACCTCACTCTTGGAAAGAAGAAACAAGCCTTCATATGCTTGCCTTCTACTTAGACAGGACTAGGCCCATCAGGGTTTCACCCAGGCTTTTCATCTCAGTTGCAGAATGTATGAAAGGACAAACAATTTTCACTCAGAGATTATCCAAATACGTTCCAAGCTGCATCTTACATCTTAAACTGTTATGAAGCCTCAGGCATTTCCCCTCTCTTCCCCCCCCCCCCCACCACCAACCCTTCACCATACCCTTATGTTGTCTAGGGGGAAGGCACAGACCCATGAGCACTGCTGATGAAAATCTCTGATCAAGAGTGCATGGGCATGTGCATATCCTGACATGGAGCACCCATATGGGGATATATTTCAAAGAATTCCAATTACTGTATGAGGTAAGTAATCTCTCCTTTTGGGCAGTGTTCCGCTTGCTATTTTAGTGATCCTTTATTCTCTCTCTCTCTCCATCAACTTGCATTTATTAGACATCTTTTGTCTTACTATTAAATATACTAACTAGAGGAAAGATGTGCCTGTTATGTAAGGCACAAAAGAGTCCAAAAATTCTGTAAGAAACTTGTGGTTTCTTTGACTTTTTGCTAATTTTATGTCAAAGATTCTTATGTAAACCACAGGATATAAGAAAGCAGATAACTGATAATATTTTTACAAAGAATGCTGTCGATAGTGAATACTGTAGTTAAAAATTGTTAAAACTTCACTCATAACAGCCTTTGCAGTTGAAATTACAATGCTTGATCTCAAATAAATTAATATATTTTTAAAAAATTGAAAGCCTGTTCCATCTTTAACAAAGTGTTTTTAAACTAAATACTGAAAAAATACTTCCACCACTATAAATATATATATATATATTGTTGCCATCTTTTCTAATATACTTAATATGTAGTAAACTTGGTATGTAAATTGTGTTAATCTTTTTGAAGCATATTCCTAACCATGTTTGAAAAATTGGCTGATAAAATTGTATGTACTAAAAATTGCTTCTGTCTACACTTAGTGCCTACGCTCTGGAAAAATGTTAAGTGAACACTTCCCTCTTTGATATCAGAAAGCGCACATTCTGTTTCAAGTGCTTGTTTATTTTTATATCTGTCTGTCTATAACATATAATATATATTCCATTCTTTGTGTGCATACACTCCATGCTCTTGATACTTGATACTTGAGTGTGTTAGCCAGCAATGTCTATTGGGACCACATATGTCCTTGTGCTCATCAGTAAGCAGCACCTCCACAGTCCATATACAGAAAGAAAATGGTGCCCAACATTCGGCATGAACTCTTACGTACATTGCCATGGGAAGGATGTCAATTTGTGGATTAGGTCTGCTGCAGGGCGGACACATTCAGGGGTTGGATGGAATTGCCTTGTGGTCTGCCAGTTGGACTAACCTGATGGACTTCAGTTTTTCCCTTCATTCTGGTATTTTTTTCCTGGTACGAAGACTTTAGGATGTCTAACCCCAAGTCTCCGGCAAAGCCCCTGTGCAAGGGGACAATACCTATAAATGAGGGGCATGTCATATGCCTCTCTTGTTTGCGGGAATCATAGATCCCAAGCAAATGTACTAACTGTAAATCCGTCTTAAAAAGAACATCAAAAACCAGAGAGGCCTGTTTATAGATAGTTTTTTATTGGACCACTCTGTGAGACTGACTTGGGATCCTGGTGCTTCTCGTCCCCTCAACAAGTTTAATATCTTCCCAGGAATGCTCTAGAGCTGCATTGTCCAATGCTTTGGCTTCTGTTTCTGGCAAGACAGACAAAAAATTTTCTAAGCAAAAGGAGCATCACTCCTTGGGGATAGTGAGAGTTGGGTCTCCTGTGAAAACTTTCACTACAAACAGATTTAAATCTCCTCGTTGCTCCCATTCCAAGGAGACTTATCGCCCCAATATGGTCACTGTAAGTGTTCTGAGGGAGCATGCTACTGAGGCTTCACTACCGTATCAATACACTTAATTGGCCCCTACGTCAGCACCAACTGCTTTGATGTTAACTACCACAGTACCAGCATCATTGGTACTGGCAGTTTCCCTAATGGTCACATTGATGCCAACAAAACTATCTACACTCCCTTCAGTACGAGCTGTATCAGCGCTGACTACATTGGCACACTCCACTCTGGCTCTGATGTTTGTGGCACAGCCCTGTTCCGTACTGGTGAAGTATGTGAAACCCGGATATTTAGAAGATTTGGAGGAACCTGAATCACTACTCTTCTCTACAAATGTGAACAGTCTGTCATTGATACTGGGACCTGCAATACCTTTGATTCCAGGTGTATCACCTGGTCTGACTGCTCCTACAGTCTAGGACCTAGACTCTCCTTGCAGCCTAGCAATCCAGTTTCGATGCACCCCCTCTTTGGATGTTGAATGTTCTGTTTTCTCTTCACCTGAGTCAAAGAGGAGTGGGCAACATTCTCCTACATGTTGGGCTTCTAGGTGCTACTGTCATACTACTAATAGAAATAATAATATTCCTGATAGGCCCCTTCTTGTGACTTTTATGGATTGGGAAGAGAATCCAGGATTCATTCAACAGAGACTGTTGGGTACTCATATGCTCTGGTATCCTACTCCATGACCTTCAGGCCCTTATCCCTGTAATGTTCCAGAGTTGCCTGGCCTCAGCAGGTCCATACCAACTAGAATGCCACACTTGTGTATCACCCACCCCCAACAGAGGGAGGTAGTACTCTTCCACAGCTCCACAACATGCTCCTCTCAGGTGGCTTCATGAGAACCTGCCCATTCTGAGGAAGAGCTTTCTGAAATGGGAGATCTACCTGGGCCCACAGCTATGTCATCCTCGACCCTCCACTCCATCTAACCCAAATAATTTGAAACATTTTCAGGACTTGTTCAGAAGAGTAGCTGAGGCTATACGAAGTCCTCTTGAGGAGGTGTAAGAATCCTCACATAAACTGGCATACTTCATTCACCAATGTCAGGTTTTGTGCGTTCCTGATTAAACAGGTACTGTTGGACTTTGCAAGAAATGTATGGCAGACACCTGCAGTTGCTGCTCCTTTGTTAAAGAAGGCCAGCAAGAAATACCAAGTTCTCTCTTCGGGAGCAGAATTTTTCTATTCATACCTGGTACTGGGTTCCTTTGTACTGGTTGCAGCTAATGAGAAAACCAAATAACATAGAATGACACCAGAAGAACGAGAACCAAAGCATCTTGGTTTATTTGGCCATAAAAACTAGTCTTTGTTGAGTGCTGGTCCATTTATGTATTCCACTCTGGGTATGCATGCACACGTGACTGGAGAGTTTTTGCAAGCAGTGTCTATTGGTCCCCACCTGTGCCCCAGCTCTACTTGTGCTCCCCACCAAGAGTATAAGTGGAAGGGAGGACCGACTGCCAGTTCTTTCTTATCACTTCATGGACTGAGTCAGGATCCTCCAATGTCCAGAGCTTCTCATTTCTTTCCATCCTGTAATTATATGCAAAGTTATATTATTCTTAGTTTGCTGTTAATTAGAGTTTTTGATGGTTGTAGTTATAGTATTAGAATCTCCACTCCAGGGAACCTTACCGGTCTCCCAGTGTGGGATTTGGATTATGCCCAGGATTTCATGCTTCAAAACCTGTGTTTTTGCCCCTGCATATGTGATGTTCTGTACCTCGGGGGACACCCAGCACCCCCATGTTCATCCTTTTAATGTGATTGTGTGGTATCTAATGCAAAGTTTGTCATGTCAGTTGTCTTCAGAAGGCTCATGATGCACTGAGCATTGTTGTTATAATAATGTTATAGTAATCGTTGTTATACTGATGTCATAGTAATGTTATAGATTGTAATTTCATGTATATAGTTATGAGGCTGAGTAAGCCCAGGCAAAAACTTTTGAGAAGCAGAGGGGCAGTTTGCACCTCTTCAGGGCATGTATGGGACAAACCCAGCCTAGCCTCACAGGAACAAAGGATACTGGCCTAGGCAACAATAAAGGATCTGTTGGACTCTCGAGTGAGTCACCCCCCCTTCCTTTGGTCAGTTTGGGACTGTGGTGAGGGAATGCTCACCTGACTCTGGAGGGGTGGAGGGGGGCAAGGCAAGAAAGGACATGATAAAAGGGAGAGACATGTGCCATGCTCTTCCTCTCTCTTCCACCTCCATCTATAGACATCACCACCCAGTGACTGAAGCACTGATCAAAGGGGAGAGCCTGGCTGAATGGCAACCAGCCAGCCTGTGGTGAGAAACATCTAAGTTTGTAAGGGCATTGAAAGTATTAAGATCAGCTTAGAATGTGTTTTGCTTTTATTTCATTTGACCTAACCTGACTTGTTATGCTTTGACTTATAATCACTTAAAATCTATCTTTCATAGTTAATAAATTTGTTTATTCTACCTGAAGCAGTGCATTTGGTATGAAGCGTGTCAGAGACGCCCCTTGGGATAACAAGCCTGGTACATATCAATTTCTTTATTAAATTGATGAACTTATATAAGCTTGCAGTGTCCAGCGAGCAGTCTGGACACTGCAAGATGTAGGTTCCTAGGGTTGTGTCTGGGACCGGAGATATTGGCTAGTTTCATTCTGTTGCACAATCCAAGGAGTAGCTTACATGCCAGAGGCTGTGCATGAACAGCCCAAGAGTGGGGGTTCTCACAGCAGAGCAGGGTAAGGCTGGCTCCCAGAGTCAAGGATTGGAGTGACCTAGCAGATCACCGGTCCAGATAATACCAGAGGGGAACATCACAGCATGTTTTCAGTCAGTGACAACCACTAGCATTGCCTCTGCTGCCCTTGGGAGGCACATATTTCTGCCAAGTACAGTATTTCCCCAGCCGAATGCAGCAGGTGCAAGAGCTCTAGCTTCAAAAAAACTTTATGGAGAAGGCAATGAGACCCCTGTCAAACCCTGTCTGTGGAGACCCCTTGTACATAGGCTCGATTTGGCAAGGAGTGCGCTCCCTAGTTCTCTGTCTGATTCCTGAGTGGAGAGAGGCACAGGGAGGACCCTTTGGCTGGGCCCCCTTAATGCCCCTTACTTTCATATCTCAAACACAAAAGCAGATGCCCTCATAGACTCTCTAAGAGGAGAGATACCTTGCTGACCCTGTCCAAGTTGGTCAAGTCTTCATGCCAGAAGGACTTCCTAAGCTGCATGACAAGACTCATAAGAGCAAGACTTCTTCAGTATAGGTCTCTGCATTGACCTTGACACTAACTGCAGTACCACCTAAACTGAAGCACTGAGAGCCGTTGAAATAGTCAGGTCAGAGATTCATTGACCATCTTCAGGAGCGTCGGCTGTACCGGTGGAACCAGCTTCCCCTTCACCCAGGAAATTCAGCCCAGACGGGATTGAGAATCTTCTGGAACCAGCCTAGGCCACACAATCATAGAATCATAGAAGATTAGGGTTGGAAGAGACCTGAGGAGATCATCTAGTCCAGGGGTAGGCAACCTACGGCACGCGTGCTGATTTTCAGTGGCACTCACACTGCCCAAGTCCTGGCCACTGGTCCTGGGGGCTCTGCATTTTAATTTAATTTTAAATGAAGCTTCTTAAACATTTTAAAAACCTTATTTACTTTACATACAACAATAATTTAGTTATATATATATATATAATAGACTTATAGAAAGAGACTTTCTAAAACATTAAAATATATTACTGGCACGCGAAACCTTAAATTAGAGTGAATAAATGAAGACTCGGCACACCACTTCTGAAAGGTTGCCGACCCCTGATCTAGTCCGACCCCCTGCTCAAAGCGGGACTATCCCCAACTAAATCATCCCAGACAGGGCTTTTTCAAGCCATAAACTTCTGGATATCCTCCACCATGAAGGCTCCAGTCAGGGTGCTCTCCCAGTCAATGAAGCCATTCCGGAACCAGCTAGAATTGTGTGGCAAACACCTGCCACCTGTGCCACTACTCCCAAGAGGGCAGGGAAGTGATACTTTGTGCCAGCTAAGGGAACACAGTTTTTGTTCTCTCACCTTACTCCAAACTCCCTAGTGTTGCAGATGGCCACTGAAAAATTCAAGCAACAACTCCCACAGATAAGGAGGCCAAACATCTCGACTTTACTGGGTGAAAGGTCTTTGCATCAACCAGTCTACAGTTTAGGATCTTGAATTATGAGGCCTGTCTCACCAAATATGATTTTCTGAACTACTCTAGACTTTAAGGACAAACCTCGGGAGGACTGAGCTCAATTTCAAGCCCTTGTTGATGAGGGCAGAATGATGGCCAGGACTTCTTCACAGGCTGCAATCAATGCTACTGATACTGCATCAAGATCCTTGACAACTGCCATTGTGATGCAGTTGGAGTTGTGGTTATGGTCTTTGGGGGAATCCAGGAAGATTTAGTCCACAATTGAGACCAATTCCATTCATGAAAAGATGAACGAGTTTCTGCACATATTGAAAGTATCTAGGGCAACCCTTCTCTTCCCGGGTATTTATACATCTGCCACAAAGAGGAAATATAAACAGACTTACAAACCAAAGCTCTTAGCTCAAACCTTTTATAACCAACACTCCTACGAGCCACCTTGCAAACGACAAAGAATGCAGAGATGAAAGATATCTGGTGACTCCCACTCCAGCTGCAACTACCTGACCTCATCCTCCAACCAAGAGACCCTTTTGACATGATACTAGAGAGCTGTGAACGAATATCAATGGCATCTCTACCCGATTTATGAGATTTAATTGAGGCCATCTAGTGAAAATTTTCCCAAAACTGGGAGGTGATATCTGTCACTCATCTGATGTGATCATCCATTCCAGCCATACCATCAAGTTTCTTCGCCTCTCTCTCCCAAAACCCCCTTGTCCCTGCCTTTTCAGGGACCGCTCTCATGAGGGAATTCTCTTTCAGATAGTACAATCTGTTCTCCGCTAAGGAGCAATACAGCAGGTACCCTCTTAATATTGGGAGAAAAGGGTTCTATTTAAAATATTTTCCCCCAAGCAGAACGGAGTCTGGAGACACATTCTTGACCTGTAGTAACTCAACATTTTTATTTGCAAATGAAATTCTGCATGGCTATATTGGGATTGATAATACCATCCCTAGAAAAAGAGACATGTTCATGGCCCTCAATATGAAAGATGCATACTTTCATGTGAACATTCATCACTCTCATAGAGGATTCCTCAGGTTTGTGATGGGCCTCCATCACTATCAATACAGGGTGCTCCCGTTAGGGTTAGGTACAGCTCCCCAAGTCTTCAGAAAAGTGTTTCCAGTAGTAGTAGTTCAGCTCAGACATCTTCTCATACGGAGATGACTGGCTTCTGACCAGCAGGTCTCGTCTGGAAGTCTTGACATCAACCATGTCACTGTTCCATCTTTTAGCATCCTTGGGAATCTGTGTAAACATGGAAGAGTCTATCTTGACTCTGACACAGTCCATGTAATTTATCAGAGTAACGTTGAATTCAGTCAAGACGGGCCTACCTCCTCATGGACAGATTTCACACCATGTGTGTTCTCAAAGAACTGGTTACCCGCAACCCTCAAACATCAGTTTGGGTGCGCCTTGCTCTCCTGGGCCATATGGCATCATGTACTTATGTAATGCCATTTGCCTGACTCCACCTTTGCCTGAAGACTTGGCTTCGAACAGTACATACACTGAGCAAGCACAGCATGAATAGCATGGTGGCAACTAACTCCAAGATGAGGGCCTCTCTGGCATGATGGAGTGACCATGGACATGTGTGCGTGAGAGTTCCCTTTCTGTTTCCCACATCTGACAAGATGATAATTACAAAGGCCTCCCTGATAGTCTGGACAATCACAAAGCACAAGGTACTTGGACACCTCAGGAAGTCAGAATTCACATCAGTCTTCTGGAACTGAGAGTAGTACGAGAGGCTTGCAAAGCATTTCTACCATTCATACAGTCCCAGCATGTTCTGATAATGTCAGACAACCTAACCCCCATTTCTATCTAAACTAGCAGGGAGGGGCATGGTCACCTCCTTCTCCCCCCCCCCCCCCACCATATATAGAAGCTGTCAGTTTATGGAACTGGTGCATACAGAATCGCATCACCCTGTTGCCACCCTCTCAGTCACCCACAGTTCACTTGTGGATCACCTCAGCAGACATTTTGCCACCAATCACAAGTGGGAGTTACATGATTCAATAGTTTAACAACATCTTCTCTCAGTGAAGAACCTTGACTTGGGACCTGTTTGCCTTTCAGCAAAGTATACTGCTCCAGAGGAGCCAAAAGAGAGTACACCAAGGGTGGTGATCTCTTCTTGCCTTGGGACAGATTATGTCCCATCCCGCTGCTATCTCCAGTTCTATGGAAAATTCTAGCCAGGGCACAAGTCATCCTCATTGCCCCTAGATGACTCAGTTTTGATTTCCAAGCCTCCTACAGATGTCATCCCATCCACTATCAGCATTCAGACCTTTCCAGATCTCTTGACCCATAAAAATGGCAGGGTCACGCATCCAAACCCTGATGCTCTTCATCTCATTGGAGATCAGTACTGAAATGGACATCGATCCTAAAATGCTACTGCTCTGAAGCAGTATGCATCCTTAACAATAGCGGGAAAGACTCTGTCAGAAGATGCTATGTAGCCAGGTGGAGGCATTTTTCTATCTGGGACCAGCAAAACCATATAATCTCCAGAGATGGTGTATATTTCTGCAGTTTTGGACTACCTTCTTACCCTCAGGACAGCCGGCCTTTCCCTTAGCTCGCTATGGGTTAATCTGGTGGCAATTAGTGCATGTCACCCCGCAATGGATGGTTACTTAATCTTTATCCACAGCCAGGTTTTTGAGTGCTTGATCAGAATCTTTCCATCAGTAAAGAAACCAAACCTTCACTAGGGTCTTAATTTAGTGGTCTCCAAACTCACTAAGGGATCCTTGGAATTGTTAGCCTGCATGTTCCATGTTTCACCTGTCAATGAAGGTCATTTTCCTCGCTGCTATCACTTCGGCCAGAAGGTTAGATGAACTTGGAACATCAATGGCTGATCTGCCATACACTATGTTTCATAAGGATAAGGCCTTGCTATGACTGCACTGAAATTTGTTTCTAAAATAGTTTTGGAATTTCACATAAACCAGTCAATTCACTTACCTGTATTTTTGCCCAATCCCTGTGCCTTGAGCGAGGAGAAACAACTTCATTTCCTCAACATAAGATGATCATTGGCATTTTACCTAAACAGAATGAAACAGATCAGAAAGTTACAGAGGATGGTTTGTTGTCATAGCAGTATAAGTACAAGCTGTATTCTCTCAGAGTCTCTAAGTGGATCTCTGACTGTATCCCCATGTGGGATACAGGCTCACTCTGAGGACACAAGCAGTTTTAGTAGCATCACTTCAGAAGGTATACCTGATTGATATTTGCAAGGCAGCTATATGGAATTCCAGTCACACATTCACAGCATACTATGCCTTGGGTCCTGAACTCCGTCAGTGACTCGTCCTTTGGGACAGTGGTTCTACAAGCAGCTATTCCACCTGCATCCTCGTTCCCCCTTCCTCCTTTCTGACTACTGCTTACTAGTCACCCCTAGTAGAATATACATAGGACCAGCACTCAAAGAAGAAATGAAAATTACGTATTTGTTGTAACTGAAGATCTTCGAGATATGCGGTCCTTATCTATATTTCATTATCTGCCCTCCCAGATATAAGGAGAATCATGAGATTCATTTGTGGTAAAGAAGGAACTGGAGAGGCTGTCAATCCTCCTCATCCTTTATGCTCTCAGTGGGGAGCACAAGGAGAACTGGTATGGACCAGTGGACACTGTTCGTAAGAATTCTGTGGGCTCACACCTGTGGTGCACATGTGTATCCACAATGGAATATGGATAGGGACCATACATCTTGAAGAACTCCAGTTACAATAAGGTAAGAAACTTCACTTTCAGAACATCTTCATTTTAGTGTTTCAAATCACCAAGCACTACTGGCCTGTTATGATTTTATGAACTATAATACGTTTTCCATTTTTTCTTGATAAGCTACCACAGGAAAACTGTGAGTGGTTTGCAGAGGGGCATTTAAAAGCAAGAACATCTCCAAGTAGAACTGGATGCTGTTGACAGTATTTCTAATATTGTGGTCACATTAGTAGTTGTGAGAAGGGAAACCTGGCTTCAAAATTCCAGGTTTCCATGTGAGGCTCAATCGGTGGTGGAAGATCAGCCTTTTGAGGGGCTGAATCTAAATGTTAAATGTAAGATCTGGCCAGACTGTATCCTTGAGATTTGTGCATAGATCTTGCTTTTTCACATGCACACCATGTAACGGGGGGCTAAAAAGTGATGAGTTTTTAAAAATGGATTTTTAAAATGTAAACTACATGTTTTGTATTTAAACTGGATTTTTATTTAAATTAAATAAAAGCTTATTTAAAAAAAACTATTTAAAATTCAATCTGAAATTATGACAATTTATGCCAAGGGCTAAACAAACTATAATATATTAAAATATTTTAAATACAAAAAATTAAGCAGTACATGTTTGCTGCTGAAGTTTGAAAGAAAGTCAAACCACTGAAGTGGTAGAAGGCGCACTGGCTAAGCGCCTAATAATGAAGTTTGTTGAAGTGCTAAAACAACTTTTGTTAGAAGTAGCTTCTTCTGCAGGTGCAGAGAAAATATTTTCTTCATTTCAGTTTATTCAATTAGTTCAGTTCAATGACTAGTTTATTCAAAGTTAAGAAACCAGTTGAGAGTTGAAAAAGCAGGAAAGCTTGTTTTCCTATTTGAGCTTGTTTTCCTCTTCTAAAAACTAGGTGTGAGAGGATTGGATCTACTGGTTTTAAAATCGGAAGGATATGGTGAACAGAAACAATATGCTCAATTCACTAACTACAGATAATACTTCCTTGTTTAATAAATCAGTCAGCTTTAAATGAAAAAAAAGTTTTGTTAAACTTTTTGGTATACTTTTTTCTTATGTATCCAGCATGTTTTAAGTTTTTATTTAACTAATTATAAAAAAAAAGTGTGTTGGTGCATTTTGAATTGCCACCCAGAGCTTGACACAAAGCACAAATAAAAAAAAATCATCTAGTAAATAAGAAATGCCTCATTCACCCATTTTCTAACATCATAAAATTTTAAAAATTTAGAATTTTGAAATGATATTTTAAGATGGATAATTGCTTAAATAAATGTGTTTAGATGTAATATATCCACCTGGTTAGCAAAATGAAGCACCAAACTTAATGCAAAGGCTATATTTAGTTGCAAATGAACATGATTTAATGATTACCAACCAGTGAAAATCAACCTTTCTTTAAGAAAATAACTAATCTGTCTCCCCCAATCTGTCTCTCTGGGTAACTGTTATTACTTGTTCTCTGGAGTGTTGTCAGAATCTGGGATCCTCCTTGAAGGGGATAGTCTTCAGGACAGCTGTGGCTGGAAGGAATTCCCATTTTTTCACAGTTGCTATCTGGTAACCCTATCTGGCTCCAGAGGAGCTTTTCTGCTATGGAAGAGGGTCATGGAGGAGGTACAGAGACTCTGTGTCGATGACTCTGCCCTGTTTCAGATCCATGAGGAACCTCCAGGTTGTTGGGCAAGCTGTGAAGCTCATTTTGTGGGAAGAGAGGGGCTGTTAGTAAGCTGCGTACATTGTTTTGCTTAATTACATAGTACTGGGGGGGGGTTAAAATCAGAATTTGGACTAAACAGGTTATAACTGTTTCATTTATAATCTATTCATATCTCCATTTTCATAATTTACAGATTTGGTATTCCTTTTTTGTATTTGAAAATGTTTAGATTGGTAAACAATTAAAAATATTTTTTTTAGATGCTGTTGGATATAATGAACAGTAGAAAGAAGAGCAGATTTAGAGTGAACATTTGACAAAATGTGTCATCTTGAATTAATCCACAAATTTAAGAAAATACAAATTACAAATAAATCAGTTCATTTTATTGATTTTGGTGTGAAACATAGCTGTCAATTTTGATTTTAGAATATGATATACATTGTTTAGGTTTTTAATCTAAACATCTGGTAAAATTAATAGGACAGAGAAATAAGGAATTAAGAGGAAAGTAACATTCTGTATTTTTTCATAGATAATGTATTGTTAAAACTTGATTATAATCTGCTTTAAGTGGCTCCAGTAGTAACTGTGACTTGATGCCCAGAAGGAATCTCCCTCTAGTGGAGTGAGATGAGAATTTAGTGAACAGATTTCCTTTTGAATATAGTTTTGATTATACTACGTTATTAGTAGTATTGTTTTTATTGTTTCCATATAATACAGAAAGATCTGGTGGTAGTCAAAACTTTAAGAACTTCATAGTTTTAAGGATAATTAAAAAAAATTGCAAACATACAATATTTGCTATACAGTATAGTTGTATAGAGATTTGGTTTACACAATTCAGAATATTCAATTAAATACCTGTGCCCTATGAAAATGTGTTATACTAGCATATTATCCCTGTTTTGCATCATTTCTTTAAAATAACAGAACAAAGTCTAGATTTCAGAGAAAATATTTCTTAAACCATTTTGTGTTGGGTTCAGATAGGTACATAATACAGATTATAGTGTAAAGTACTGATAGTATACTAAATGTTTTTATTAATAACACAATTAAAATTCATTGTTATTTACCATATTAAAATTAACTGCATTCTCACCACCCAGTGAGAGTTCAGGGACTTACAGTATGCTGAAGCATTCCTTCTTACTAAGTGTCTCTTTCTTCAGCTCTTGGATTGCTGAAAAATCACAGTTGTCTAGTAGAACATTTCACTTGAAATTCTGTTAGGGGGACACAGTTTTGCCATGCAAATTGCCCTGTGTCGTGTAATTGCATGTATGTCTCCCACCTCACTTACTACACGCCTGGAAAAGGGTTGAAACCTGGCACTGGTTACAAAGCACTTTTGGGTGAGGCTCTTGGGCTTCTGTTGTGGATGTCAGACTAGGTGATCATAATGGTTCTCTCTAGGCTTAAAATCTATGACACTAGCAAAAGCTAAGAGGCAAAAGGATATGGTTAATTACAGATTAATACCTTCTATTAGGAAAGACATTTCTGGTGAATGTGTGTCTTCTCATTCATTGTGTAGGTCCCGGTAATACATAGTTTAGTAGTCATCAGTTGACGGTTTATTACTGAAATAAGGCATTTAAATGTGTTCATAACAAATGCATTCCTAACAAATGTTGATTATTTTTGAAATCTATTTCTTGAGTTTAGAGTGTCATTTTTTGAGTGATGCAGGAAAACATTCTAACTCTGCAGCATCATAACAAAGTGCACACCCTGGCTTAAACTGAAATACAGTTGTATGTTAACTGATATACCTGAAGCCCCTGCCAATTCAATTGCCAACAACTGCTGAACAAATTAAACTCTTTTGCAAACATCTTGTCATCTTACTTGTATGTCTATTGTACTTTAATCACCAAATTATCTGTAAATACCTAAGGATGTGGTGGATTCATCATCACTTGATTCTTCTCCCCCTTACCACTCTTTCTTCTTTTGAACAGCACTGCCTCAGACTTTTCTCTCCTCTTCCCCTCCATGTTGCTGTCATCTACCATCCACCCAGCTCCTCCCCCTCAGCCCTCCTCTCCTTATGGTCTCCCACTCTCATCCTCTGTGACTTCAACTTCCATAATGATGATCCATCCCTGACTCCTTAGCTGCCTGTTTCCTCTTGCTCAACTCTTCATTAGTCCTGCAGACCTAGTTCACTCTCACTTGCCAAAAGGGCCATTCACTGGATTTGGTCTTCACCAAGCACCCATCTCTCTCTCTGATCTCTCTGTTGCTGAGTTCCCCCTGGTCTTTTTCAGCATTGCCTGTCAGCCCTCTGACTCTGCATTTCTATGACTTCTGGTCCATCAGTGTTGCAGACTTCTTATCTGCTCTCAGCTCTCTCCTCTTTGTCCTTACTTCCATTGATACAATTGTTGATTCTCTCCGTTCTTTACTCTCCTTCACTCTTGACTTTTTTGCCCCTCTCTCCCATTAGAAGGTACAGCTCTGCTAACCCCCAGCCCTGGGTCACTCCCAACATCTGATTCCTCTGTTCTTGTGCTGTGTAGCATTCCTAGCAGAAATCCCATTATCAAACTGACTTCCTCCACTAAAGGTTGGTTCTCTCCTACTTCCGTTCTGCTATCATCCTAGCTAAACAACTCTGCTTCTCCATCTTAATTGAATCCCATGTCCTCGGTCCCAGCCACCTATTTGTCACCTGTGATTCACTCCTTAAATTCTTCCCTTCTTCTGCCTCCACTTCTCTTTCTGCACAAGATCTTGCTGACTTCTTCCAAGAGAAATTTGACAAAGTATGATGTGATCTTTTGTCTCCCCTTGATTTGCCTTCTTTTCCTTCTTCTACAACTTTCTCCATCTCTCCTGTCATAGAGACTGGAGTTTCTCATCTACTCTCCTCCTTTATCTCCTCTTTTCACAGTGACCTGATCTCCCTTGTGTGCACTCTCATCTCTACCTTACTCTTCCCAACTTCTCACTCTCCCCTGTCTCTTTCCTTCACAATCCAAACATGTTCTCTCTTATCTTAAAAAATGAAGGGAAAAAAAGACAGCAAAAAAAAATCCTTTACCCCATTTGCCTCTCCAACTATCACCCCATTTCTCTTTTTCTTTTAATCTCTAAACTCATTAAATATGCTGTGTACCGTCAATGTGGGAGTTCTTCTCCATCTGTACAATCTGGCTTGTGCCCCTGGCACTCCACTGAAAATGCTCTTGTCAATGTCTTTACCTCTTCCAAGCCAAAGCTCAGAACCAGTACTCCATCCTCCTCAACCTGGTTCTATTGTTACTAGCATAATATAAATAATAATATTGCAATGTTAATGGAGCACACCACAAGTGTGCATGTTTTTAGTGGGATCCTTCAAGGATCTGTTCCCTGCCCAACTCTGTTGAATTTTTTAAAGTCAGTTTTCAAGGGAAAAAATATAAAATCATTGCTGATAAAGTTTGCTGATTACACAGGGGTCAGAGTGGTAAATAGTAATGTATGTTATAGAATGAACTGGATGGCTTTGTATACTGGACAATCCAATTGCTTTTTTGTGTGTGTGGGAACTACAGCAAAATACAAGGTCATACATAAGAAAAACAAAGACTACATAGTAGTGTCTTGGAAAGCAGTGACTATGGGATAATACTAGATAACCAATGGAACATGAGTTCCCATTGTGATGTCACTAAAAGGGTTAATATGATTATTGGATGTATAAACAGGGTGATACAGAATATGGGTAGGAAGATAGTGTTACTGTTGTGTGTTGCTACTGAGACCATTAATGGGTGTTGTAAAAAAGCTCCTCGAGTGACTTTAGATGTGGAAAATATGTCTTAGATGAGATAGCCATGTAGTTTATAGGTAGCTCGAATGATAAGACCTATGGTTAAGGTTGCCAAACACTTTCCATTATAAGACTCTGTTTTTGGTTGCTTGCAACTGTGCCAAACTTGACTGCCTTGGGCTAAAATTTTCCTTTCCAAGTGTCTGCCTGAGGCTGAATTTTTTTTTATTGTCAGCAAAAACACTTCTTTGCCTTGCTACCAATATTCATGATGCTACCTACAATGTCATATTTAACAACCCAACTGAACTTTTTCCTGGTGTACAGTTGTCTTTTTAGAATGTTGTTGTACTGTGCTACTGACAGGTTTTTTTGTTCACATATAAATTCTCCGTTGCTAATTTGTAGTTGGAATTTTAAAATGTCAGAAATAAGCCAATTATATAATTAATAAAATAATGATTTAATAAAATCAAACTTTTTTTTTAATCATTCTCCAAATTTTCTTTGTCTCCTTAGAATGTGAAAGCATTTGCATCATCAGATAGTCTAGCCAAGGTCCAAGAAGTAGCAAGCTGGCTTTTGGAAATGAATCAGGAACTGCTGTCTGTGGGCAGCAAGAGGCGACGAACTGGAGCGTCTCTTCGAGGTAATGCTTCCTCAAGCCAAGTAGATGAGGAGCAGATGAATCGAGTTGTGGAGGAGGAGCAGCAGCAGCAGTTACGACAACAAGAGGAGGAGCACATTGCAAGGAATGGGGAAATAGGTGTAGTAGAGTCTGGACTTGATGACAGAATTGAATCCCAGCAAGAACAGTTAGAAGAAAATAACAATAGGCTTATTGTAGTGGATGAAGAATCCACTGGTAACCACGAGGAGGAGGAAGAGGAAGAACATGGTGGTGAACAAGAGGAGGAGGTGGAAGAAGAGGAGGAAATGGACCAGGAGAGTGATGATTTTGATCAGTCTGATGACAGCAGCAGAGAAGATGAACACACTAACAGTAATAGTGTCACAAATTCAAATAGTATCATGGATTTGCCCATACACCAGTCATCTCAATTCTACATAAAGTCAAAGGTGAGCAACTTAATTTAATTTTTCTATTTTGTACTTAAGATGTTGGTTACTCAGGATTAGAAAATAAGTTGCACATCTAATTTACTCTGAAATCTTTTACTGATTTGAGTATGTTATCTACTAGAACAATACACTTTTGGGAATACATTGATTCTTTATATACTAAGTCTCACCTACTAATAATCAAACTCTTTACACATATTTGATATAAATAAATAAAGCTGTTCATAGACTGATATAGAAATAGAAGTCTGGAAGGGACCTCAAGAGGCCATCTAGTCCCTCCCCCATGCTGAGGCAGGATTAAGTATACCTCGACTATCCCGGAAAGGCTTGTTTAATTTGTTCTTAAAAACTCCCAGTGATGATGATTCCACAACCTTCCTTGATAATCTGTTCCATCGCTTAACTATCCTTCAGAAACAAAGCTTTATATATTCGATAGAACAGCATTCTTAACTTCTTTCATATTATAATCCTACAATCTCCCTAAAATGCACTAAGGAACCATTTGTGACATTTTCCTTCTCAAAGGAAGCATGAGAGCTTCTTGTATCAAAAGGCATCGTTCTAAGGGACTGGACATATGCACTTTAAATTAGAGACAGGAAATGGGAGAATGTTCAACTCCTCATCCTAGACAGCTTCAAGTGACTTCCTTGGCTAAATATAGGTGAAAAAATAATAGTTCAAATATAAAGTCATCATATGGCACTGTGGAGTTTGTGAAGAATAAGGAAATCACATTTAATAATTTAAAAGGTTATTATCAACTTAAAAAAAAATCATTCTTCTGTCTGAAAATGTTGAGTTTACAAGTAGCCTCTATAGGCTTTTCTGTACATGAGACTTAGTGTGCAGTAAGCCTGGGTGTGAATCTACAGTTCATCAACCTGCCGTACACTAAGTGGCCAAATGGACTTTATTGTCATGCACTAAAATTTCCTTAGCATGAAGGTCGAATAGCAGTAGATCAGAGTGCACTCAGGAACAGGTTCCACATGGCTGCTTGGTGCACAGCAAGTTGATGCACTGTAGATTCACACCCAGGCTTGCTGTGGACTAGATCCCCTTATAGACTAACCCTCAGATTATTGAAAGACTGAAAAAGCTTTAAAAGATAATATTCTTTGCTTTTAAAAGTTTTTTGTGTTATCGGTTTCACTTTTTGGTGGTGGTGCAAGTCATTTCCCAGGCTCTTCAAAAGGGAGTTTACTAATCTTAACAGCAGCAAAAGTGAACTTAAAACAGCCACAAACAGTAATGTGGATAGAGAAAGAGATTGGAGGAGAGTGGCTATAACCATGAATGGTGTTGCTCTTGGGCCTGCCCAACAGATTCTTCTAAATATCAACAGCAGGAAGAGAAACTCCTTTTACTCCCTCAATAAATAAATAAATTATATGTATTATTTAAAGGGTACATTGTCAGAAAACTGAATTTTAAACATTGTTTATTATCTTGAAAATATCAATTTGGCAGTGTCTCTTCAAATCCACTACTTAATTTCAAGGTGATGGTCTTATTTTAATGTCAAATGCATCAGTATAAGCATATTGATAGAAATACTGTACCAGAATCTATGCAACTACACTTGTGCAGACATACGGACACCATTGGTTTTCCAAATTTGCAGTAGTACATTTCAGGTAGTGGTAGTTAGAATCTAAATCTCCCATATGTTTAAGTTTTATATCTATTGTGTTGATTAAGATGCTTGATTTCAAAAGTTGTTATAAGGATCTTTCTAGGTTGTTTTTTTAAGGAAATAATGGAATTTTACATGTACATTGTTAGCTGTCCTAAATGTTGAATCATATATCTCTGAAGAAATCCCATTTAAAAAGATGTCGGAATGGAAACACTAGCATATCATTGCCAAGTTTTGTCAGATTTTCTTGGCTCTGTTAGTCTTACAACCACTAATTCTTCTGCTATGATGCTTTTTTCCCAACCAGTGTAGTGTGATGAGGAATGCCATAACCACCTATATTCAACCATTTTGCACCCAAAAAGCATTTAAACTTGCTGGATCAGTAAGTTCAGAATTCGTAATACAACTATGTAAACAACAATAGTCAATATAAATGCATGCACACAGAGCAAGAGATAGTGGTTAATGGTCTTTACTTTTGCTTCTTTTTCATTTTTTTCATAATGAATACAATTTTTATTATGTTTTAAACAAGGCACATTTGATGTAAATAAGATTCTGGTGTTTGGAAAGCATGCATAGTTAGGATTTTTTCTGTATTGTCTGATAGCCACTTTGCATTTTGATTCCATTATTAAGACTAGAACAGCACAACAAGAAAAATTCATTTTGACTAACCTGTTTTTAAATCATCTAAGTTTAAAAATACAAACATCTTCTGTGTAAAGAAATCCTGCAGAAATCCTGCATAAAGTTAAATGTTGTATCACACTCAGTTAATGACGGAGCATGAACAATTACTATCTGAAGCAGGGTTACCGAAGACTAAAAAAATTGACATGCTTATATGTAATAGCATTTTTGAGACAAGCACAGTATATGTGGACTCTTATTAACACTAGTAAGTGTGATTTCTAGCTCTGACTATTGTAAATTGAAATCAAATGGTATATCGTGTGAAAAGAATACCATTCAAGTCAGATTACTTTTTCATCCAAATAGTCTCAAAAAGTTAAAATGATATATTTTTACATCTTCACGTATGCTTTTCTGGGCTCATTAGTGTCTGATTATTTACTGCTTCTGTTCAGATTACCTAGCCCCTTATTTGGATCTGCACATTAATTTAACTTGTTTTTGTACCACCACCTTCAGTAGAAATAATGTGTGGAATCTGCTGCATACTGTCTAAGAATCAGCCGTAAGTTTCTTTCTGGTTTTAGGTGAAACTTAGAAAGTATATTTGGTTTTGGTTTTGCAGTAATGGGATCTTTATTTTTTTTTTAAATCTCTACTGGAGTGGTAAGCTTTCTCATTGTGCCATTGGTAATGCAGCAGAGAATTTCTGTTAATTTTCCAGCATTTAAAAGATTCATTACCTCCTTTGTCCAGAAGCTCATATAAAAGTATGTCTGGTCATTCTCTACTAACTACCACTATTTGCTTGCCCCAGGGAGCTTTTTTTTTTTTTTTTTTTTTTTTTAGTCTTAAGACTATTGTAGAACTCTTTCCTTCCTAAGTATATCAGAAAACATGTAAAGTAACACTTATATACTAGTTATGGCATCTGTTTGATTATGAATGCAGTTTATTACAGCTAATCTCAGGAGCGTACATCCACTAATCCAGAACAACTACTAGGTTGGTCCTGTCTTCTGTAGCAATGTAGGCAACATGTGCAATGTTTTTCTTTCTACAAAGATAACAAGTAGCACCCAATATACTACTACCAATATACTAAGATCAGTATTGTTCAGCTCATGTTAACTGTCATACCTCTTTTTTAAATCTTTTTAATTTCTGTTCCCTTTCTTTTAACTTAAACTGCTGAGTGAAGTCTCTAACCTGATTTTATTTTGTTTTGTTTTGTTTTTCTTGTCTTGCGGGATCCTGTGACATTAAGGGAAGCTCCTCAAGATTCCCACGTAAAGATACAATGTATCTTAGTTATGCTTGCCATCTAAAGTCTAGTTATGCTTGCTCCTAATATTACTCTTCCATATAAGCAATTGCTGTAGTTTCACAGGGATGTTGTGAAATTACAGTGAGTAAAGGAGGTGGTCTATATGATTGTGAATGGGAGGGAAATTGGTTCTTCATACACTTATTTAATGTGATCTATGTTGTGAAAAAAAATGGACTGTTCAGACAGCTGAGATCAGTCAGCCTAATTCTACCAAATATTGTCACAAATCTCCATGAGGGAAAACAGAAAATAAACTCCTGTATGCCAAAGGTAGGAGGTGTTGGAGGAGATGTGGGTCTCTACAAAAAAAACCCAAGGCAGGTCCAGTGAGCAAGACGTGTAGTTTCTCTGTCTGTTCCCAATCCTGAGAAAACACCATCACAGGATGACTATGACTGTACAGTGACCCCACTTTAAGACTCCTGTTTGAGTTCAGTAGTGCAGTGAATTAAGGTTCCTGGCACAAGGTTTGGTTCTTGAGCCACAGGAAATTGTTCCCAGGTTGTTGAGAGGGAGGCAGGTGAATGGCAGCCTCTCTACATTGAGGGGCATGCCCTTCCTTTTGAAGGCAGATATCAGCTTGAATTTTGGTGTTATTTTATTTCTTTTCCAAATGGAACTTCAGTAGCCATTTCTCATATGCCCATGTAAGTGGAGATTTTGCCGGGCACTACTCTTTTGCAGGGATAGAGTTCCAAACAGCATTGTTGGCTGTTCTTCCCCATCCTGTGGGATGCAAAAGGACTCAAATTTTGAAATCCAGGTAGATAAGCCTTCAGAGAGCTGGGGAATTGTTAGACAGCAAGCAGTTGTTTTTTCTCTCCCGGCCTTTTACGAAATGAAAACCTATCCCATCTACTCTATAGACTCGAGTGACAGGAAGCTGTCATCTACTACTGGATATTAAAGAAGTGATCAAGCTCTTGTCAAGACCTTCCTTTCACATAACAGCAGTTTCATGGTTTGGCTTGCTGGAAGTTTTCCTAGGAGAGTTGTTCATAGGCCCGGCAGATCATCAGATGCTTATTTCAACATTCCTGGTCTTCCTTCTCATCAAAATGTGCCTGAGTTTCAACAGTATTGAGGTTTTCACATGAGGGTGGCTAATGGGGATCCTAGCTGCAGCACTTTACCAGAAAGGTGTATGTCTCCACCTGTACTTGGATAACAGGCTAATGTGAACTCCTAAAAATCAGAAGCCAGGTCTACAACTGAAAGGATTCAAGAATATGGGGACATGGGTGAGTCAGCAGCCATGAAGAACACTTTGACTTCCTTCCAGAAATTAATATAGTTGAGGGTTTGCTTCATTATTAAAGTGGTCAAGATGTTTCTATCAAATGCAATGACAAAGTTCAGAGAATGGATTACTATTTTTAT